AGCAGGGGGACCCCCCGCTGCTTCTTCTTCTTCATCGCTGGCGATGCGTTTGCGCAGGCGTCCTCTCCTGCATATGCAGCAACACATGAAGAATTAAAAAAACAAATAAATAAAATATTTATTTTATTTTATTTTAATAAAAATAAAATAAAATAAATATTTTATCGGGTGTGTATGTTGAGCTGCGCTCAATTCCCCGCTTTTTTTTGCAGCGCATCTGAGGTGTATGTACACCCGAAACCAACACACTCCCAGAGCTCACCGCCGTGCAATCTGAGGAGAAGCTGCTGCGGCTTCGTCGTCCATTCTCTCCTCCGTAGGATGCAGGGGCCGCCGGGTGCAGCGGCAGCAACTAGGCGTCCATAATAAACCAAAAGAGAAGAAGAAGTGCGGCGGAGGATGAGGCAGAAGCAAAGAAAAAAAGAAAAAGAGAACGAGAAACGAAAGAAAGTGATCGGGGGGAAGACGAGACAGCTGAGGTGTTTACGGGGGGCTAAGCCCAGTGGTGAGTTCAGGCGGAATAAATAAAAAAATATAATTCAGATGTAAACTTTAATGAAAATAAATTATATTTTATGAAGATTTATTACTTCAATTCAATAAAATTTCTCTCTGCCTTCTCCCCCCCCTGCAACACAAAACGATACAGATGAATGGCTGCAGCGTCGTCTGTGTGTCCGTGCTCAGCTGTGGTGGAAATATTGAAGGAAAAAGAAGAAATGTGGAGTATTAATATCAAAATAAATGCGTTTCCAGATATTATTCAGCTGGGGTGTACGCGCAGCTCCGACCCGCCGGTGGCGCTGGTGGTGTTCAGGGCCCCGGGTCGAAACCTCTTTATATATCGGGACTGGGGCCCCACTGAGATGCATGCACGGAGTATTGCAAAAATATTATGATTTGTTTTATTTATATTTTTTGTTTCAACGAAAAAACCGCTGCTTTCCTCTGCTTTCCCTCTGCTGAAGATGAACTGGAGCTGCCTATACACCCCGTGGCCGTGACGGCTGGATGCAAGTTGCATCCTGCGTTCGTCGGCGCTCCCTTTTTACTTTTTTATTTCCTTAAAAGTATTTAATTTATATATTTAAATGTTTATTTTGTA